TCGTGAGTGGTGTCTTGGTACTCGAAGAGCTCCAGTTTTAGCAAAGGTGAGCTATTCTTGGCTAGCAATGGCACTGCTGCGGATTCCGAAAGACATGGTACTGGCCGCTGGGGGGGGGGGGGGATGGCGGCATACTCCCGATAGGGGTTCTTTAATGTCCGAAAAATATATCCTCAGATTTTTTTCTCTTGTGTTGGTGTGCAATTTAACACGCACCCTGCTTGGGTATTTAATATTTATCCGAATTCGTAACCCCACTGGAGAGGGGGAGGGAGTTGGATTCTGCTTATTTCTATTATGCTCCGCGTATCCGTGCTGCTAGACTGATTTGCGATGCAATGTGGTGGCATTTGTTCCCTGCAACCTACATTCTGTGTGTAATTTCATAACGCTGTATCATGTACAGGGAGCCCGTGGGCTCCCTGTGGGTGTCAACTTGGTGACACCGTTATAAGTGTAAGCAGCGCTGTGACACCTTTAAATTACACCCGTGGATATGCAGTTTAACACACACCCAGGCGATTATTCCCCCCAGTATCCCTATGGGTGTCAACTTGGTGACACCGTTATAAGCGTTGTGTTGTGACACCTTTAAATTACACCCGTGGGTATGCAGTTTAACACACACCCAAGCGATTATTCCCCCCAGTATCCCTACGGGTGTTATCTTGGTGACACCATTATAAGTGTAAATAGGGTGTCTGAGGGGAGTCGAAACGCACCCTTGTCTGGGGTGTATGACACCACAGTACAGAAACTGGACACCCTTAGGGATAGTACAATGGTGTATCTTGACGCTCATATAAGTGTTATCTGACACCTTTCAAAAACACCCGTGGGTATGCAGTTTAACCACTTACACCGTTAGCAGTGTTTTAAATTTTCTCCGTGCATGCTGTTATGGGCGCCTACAATTTGTATATCTCGGATTTTTTATATCCGTGACCTAAGGTCAGGTCAGTGGCGTGACCTTTCCATTACAAGTCAATGGAGAAAAATGAAAATGCCTCTAGATCCGTGTGTACGGATCGGAACAGTCCAAATATTTCAGAATCACAATGATTTAGTCCACTCGTGATGACCAAAGTGTCATTTTTGCTCATAGCCTCTAGACAGGTCATCCGAGGTCACTTGAGGCTACAAACAGTTTTTTGCCAATAACTCGCGATTGGAAAGAGATAGAACGCTGGGGATGGTCTCATTGTGTTTATCTTGTTAAGACGCATCGACTGATATGCAGCATGACCTTTTCCGGTAAGGTCATGACCTTGACCTGAGGTCAAATTTTCAAGTTGACCTTTTAAGGTCATTCGACCTTGAAAGGTCAACTGGTTTCATTCGGTCATATGGTTCATTCGACGCGTCTCGGCGAGGGGAACACGATTCTGGCAAAAGAAATGTCGTGGCTTTTTGTAGTCGAAAGTTATTGTCGAAAAACACTTTTCGTAAAAACAGCTATTTTTGGAGTTTTTGCCCTCTGGAGGCTAAACCGTTGACCTGAGGTCAATATTGATAATGACCCTTTCAAAAGAAGAGTTCAAAAGCTATCGTTTGCTTTTCCATGCGTTTTTCTAGCTACCATAGTTCCTGAGATAGCGGCATGTTTTCTGAAAAATATAATGACAATTGGCAAATTTTGACCTTTGATGACCTCTGGTGACCCCAATATTGCTCTAAGGTGAAAAATGACCGAAAGAGAGCTATCGACTGCTTTTTACCGCGTCTTTCTAGCCCTCTTAGTTTTTGAGTTAGAGGTGGGTGGTAACATATGCCCCCCCCCCCCCCCCCCCCACTAGGGCGAAGTTGGCTGAGACCGCCACTGGGACGCGGGTTAACATTGCCGTAAATAGAAAATTATATAAAAAGTTAAAGGCAAAACACCTCTCTAAATTTTTGTACGTTAAATTTTCATATCCAGAGGCATCTTTTGGCATCATCTTTTTGTCAAAAATTTAATGGCCACATTTTTAAAATAAAAAATAAAAAATATATTAATTAAAAAAATGTTGAGATAATAAAAATTTTCAAAATATTTTGATTGATTATTTTTCTACAGTCAATGAGGATTCCAATGATATACATATTAATGTAAGTTACAGGCCATATCTTTATATAATGTGAGTCAAAAAGAGGGTTACTCTGAGCATTTTGAAAAATGCCGCTGGCTATAACTCGTAAACCGTTTGTAGTATAACGCTGAAAATAGGAGATTAAGAATCTACGGTACAGATAACCCCCTAGACGCAATTTCATCAAAATCTGAGAGGTAGGGTGTTATGGCTTGGTCGATCTGTCATGGAACGCCCCTGCTCTCTGATCACACACAGACGGTGGTGTACTGTGTCCCGCTACTCTCTGATCACACACAGACGGTGGTGTACTGTGTCCCGCTGCTCTCTGATCACACACAGACGGTGGTGTACTGTGTCCTGCTGCTCTCTGATCACACACAGACGGCGGTGTACTGTGTCCCGCTGCTCTCGTGATCACACACAGACGGCGGTGTGCTGTGTCCCGCTGCTCTCTGATCACACACAGACGGCGGTGTACTGTGTCCCGCTGCTCTCGTGATCACACACAGACGGCGGTGTACTGTGTCCCGCTGCTCTCTGATCACACACAGACGGCGGTGTACTGTGTCCCGCTGCTCTCTGATCACACACAGACGGTGGTGTACTGTGTCCCGCCGCTCTCTGATCACACACAGACGGTGGTGTACTGTGTCCTGCTGCTCTGATCACACACAGACGGTGGTGTACTGTGTCCCGCTGCTCTCTGATCACACACAGACGGTGGTGTGCTGTGTCCCGCTGCTCTCCGATCACACACAGACGGTGGTGTACTGTGTCCCGCTGCTCTCTGTCTGATCACACACAGACGGTGGTGTACTGTGTCCCGCTGCTCTCTGATCACACACAGACGGTGGTGTGCTGTGTCCCGCTGCTCTCTGATCACACACAGACGGTGGTGTACTGTGTCCCGCTGCTCTCTGATCACACACAGACGGTGGTGTACTGTGTCCCGCTGCTCTCTGATCACACACAGACGGTGGTGTACTGTGTCCTGATGCTCTCTGATCACACACAGACGGTGGTGTACTGTGTCCCGCTGCTCTCTGATCACACACAGACGGTGGTGTACGGTGTCCCGCTGCTCTCTGATCACACACAGACGGTGGTGTGCTGTGTCCCGCTGCTCTCTGATCACACACAGACGGTGGTGTACTGTGTCCCGCTGCTCTCTGATCACACACAGACGGTGGTGTCCCGCTGCTCTCTGATCACACACAGACGGTGGTGTACTGTGTCCCGCTGCTGTCTGATCACACACAGACGGTGGTGTCCCGCTGCTCTCTGATCACACACAGACGGTGGTGTACTGTGTCCCGCTGCTCTCTGATCACACACAGACGGTGGTGTGCTGTGTCCCGCTGCTCTCTGATCACACACAGACGGCGGTGTACTGTGTCCCGCTGCTCTCTGATCACACACAGACGGCGGTGTCCCGCTGCTGTCTGATCACACACAGACGGTGGTGTCCCGCTGCTCTCTGATCACACACAGACGGCGATGTGCTGTGTCCCGCTGCTCTCTGATCACACACAGACGGTGGTGTACTGTGTCCCGCTGCTCTCTGATCACACACAGACGGTGGTGTCCCGCTGCTCTCTGATCACACACAGACGGTGGTGTACTGTGTCCCGCTGCTATCTGATCACACACAGACGGCGGTGTGCTGTGTCCCGCTGCTCTCTGATCACACACAGACGGTGGTGTACTGTGTCCCACTGCTCTCTGATCACACATACGGCGGTGTCCCGCTGCTCTCTGATCACACACAGACGGCGGTGTACTGTGTCCCGCTGCTCTCTGATCACACACAGACGGTGGTGTACTGTGTCCCGCTGCTCTCTGATGACACACAGACGGCGGTGTACTGTGTCCCGCTGCTCTCTGATCACACACAGACGGTGGTGTACTGTGTCCCGCTGCTCTCTGATCACACACAGACGGTGGTGTACTGTGTCCCGCTGCTCTCTGATCACACACAGACGGCGGTGTACTGTGTCCCGCTGCTCTCTGATCACACACAGACGGCGGTGTCCCGCCGCTCTCTGATCACACACAGACGGCGGTGTACTGTGTCCCGCTGCTCTCTGATCACACACAGACGGCGGTGTCCCGCTGCTCTCTGATCACACACAGACGGTGGTGTACTGTGTCCCGCCGCTCTCTGATCACACACAGACGGCGGTGTACTGTGTCCCGCTGCTCTCTGATCACACACAGACGGCGGTGTCCCGCCGCTCTCTGATCACACACAGACGGCGGTGTACTGTGTCCCGCTGCTCTCTGATCACACACAGACGGCGGTGTACTGTGTCCCGCTGCTCTCTGATCACACACAGACGGTGGTGTACTGTGTCCCGCTGCTCTCTGATCACACACAGACGGTGGTGTACTGTGTCCCGCTGCTCTCTGATCACACACAGACGGTGGTGTACTGTGTCCCGCTGCTCTCTGATCACACACAGACGGTGGTGTACTGTGTCCCGCTGCTCTCTGATCACACACAGACGGCGGTGTACTATGTCCCGCTGCTCTCTGATCACACACAGACGGTGGTGTACTGTGTCCCGCTGCTCTCTGATCACACACAGACGGTGGTGTACTGTGTCCCGCTGCTCTCTGATCACACACAGACGGCGGTGTACTATGTCCCGCTGCTCTCTGATCACACACAGACGGTGGTGTACTGTGTCCCGCCGCTCTCTGATCACACACAGACGGTGGTGTACTGTGTCCCGCTACTCTCTGATCACACACAGACGGTGGTGTACTGTGTCCCGCTGCTCTCTGATCACACACAGACGGCGGTGTACTATGTCCCGCTGCTCTCTGATCACACACAGACGGTGGTGTACTGTGTCCCGCCGCTCTCTGATCACACACAGACGGTGGTGTACTGTGTCCCGCTGCTCTCTGATCACACACAGACGGTGGTGTACTGTGCGCCCGGCGCCTGTATTTCCGACACAAACTGCGCGGTCAGTTGCGCTGCGCCAAACTGCACACTATGGGCGATCAGCCCGCACAGACACACTATAACCCACCGCAGGCGGCCAGAGAGACAGACACCGAGACGGCGCCCCGGCCGCCCACACCACCCTCGCCCCCTCCCGCACTGGCCGGGGACGGCTCGGGGTGGTCACCCGCAGCGGCCGGCTGCCGCGCTGCGACAGCGACGTCACTGGGCGTTTGAGGTCGGTCGCCAGCTGAGTGCTGGAGCGCCTGTCAGAAGCTGAGAGGTCGGCTTCAGCTCTAGCCAGGCGACGAGGACGAGCGCAGGGCAACAGAGGCGCACGCACAAACCATACCACACCGGTACAGACCGGACAAAACCAGTACAAACCAGCCGTGACCAGTACAGCGCAGACCATACCGGTACAAACCGACAGAAACCTGCACTGACCCGACCATAGCAGCAGAAGCCGGCAGACTGGACTGCACCAGCACCATCCGGATCTAACTGGTACGGCGCGATCGGCACCCAAACAAGGACCAGCCAAACCAAAGGAAATGCCGCAACACATGCTCACAAAGAGAAACCGAGCGGCGCCTAGCGCGGAAGACTGTCTAAAACTGACTGACATTGTGTAAAACGTCACCAAACGGCGGCGGATCGGACTGTTAGAGTTCCCGGGACCTCGCGGAGGCCCGGCGCTGTCACTGAGGCTCCTACACCCGCCGGCAGAGTCCGCACTGCAGGGAGGAGAAACGCAACGGAACTGAACGCTCACTGAACTGCTGTCACGGCCGCGGTCAAACGTCAACAAGGCGATACAGACGGACGGGCCCGCCCCCGGCTGTCCCATTGCATTTGGCATCGGCGCCCCGGTCAGCGGCGGAAGGCACCACGACCCGGGCCCGGGCCGGGTCCGGACCCGGTCCCGCGCCGGGTCCGGACGCCGCCAATTTACAGCTGAATCACAGGCGGTCCGCGGCGGCGCCCATTTGTGCCGAGAGCGGACCGCCGCTCCCAGTGTCACCTGTCGGCGGCGGCCGCAGGTGTAGGTTGCCGCCGGCGCTCACAGGTGGCGCTGTCGGCGGTGCAGCGCCGCCCTCCGTGGCCGGTCGGGGGAGATTACATGTCCATCTCGAACTGCGGATCGTCCCCGTCTGAAAACGAGCGGAGTGTCAGAGACGCCGGCACTGACCACATCTCACTACTCAGATGCACCGTGTCGATTGGTCGCGAGTCAGTAGTACCCGCGCCGGTACAGGTGTCACAGACACCTGGAGTTACCAGGGCACGGGACACTGAACGAACGACTCGCGGTGATAACAAGTGGTCTGCAGCTGTTACGCAGCCATCTTTAGTAAACAGGGAAATAGAAAACCTTCCGACAACATGCGACAATCTCACAGCCAATCTGCCAGAACCGACCCACTGAAAGTCGTAGAACTAAAACATCACCAATGAAAATCATCGACACTCGCCCCCTCCCTTTCCCCGGACTTTTTATCTCCCCATTCCTCGTCACAGTACCACCTCCACCCCTCGCTCGCCCACCGTTCTTGTCGGCCGGCGCGGCGTGCTCGGTGCCCTCGTGAGCGGGCGACCGGTGGCCGGCGGCGCCCGGCGCCGCACCGTCCGCCGGCAGCTTGGTCACGCCCGGCACGTGCGCCATGGCGGCCGGAGGCGTGCGCGCCAGCGGCGAGTCGCGCAGCGCCTTCAGGAACTGGCCCGTGTACACGATACGCGTACCTGGCGAACAAAGTACACCATTAGTGGGGGTACATCTACACCAGTACACCGTCATATTTACACCAGTACTACTTCACACAGACAGAGGACATCTAATTCTACACCGGTACACGGTACGGGTACATGACAGAGGGAGGAACCCCGCCAGGGGGCATATTTACATCAGTTAACGGTGTACACAATATATGGGTACCTTCATGGCGGGGGTACCCCGTTAGTAGTATAATTACACCAATATACGGGGTACATGATTCGAGCATTAACGGAGGGGAGTACACCGTCAGAGGGGTATATCAACACTAGTACACGGGCCACGGTGTAAACGATACACGGGTGGAGTAGAGTGCGCCGTTCGAGTGCGTACACTGAGAAAATTTAAAAACGGGGTGGGGTGTTTTTGCAGTGTATGATGAGTGTCAGACACTTTTAAATGTGTACTGTGACACTTATTACAGTGTCATGAAGCCTGTCATACACGGTTAAAGGTTTAGACACCCTCAAAAACTCCCTTGGGTATGCAGAATAACCACTTACCCATGGGTAAGTGGTTACCATGGGTAACCACCATGGGGTATGGGTACCCATGGGTAAGTGGTTATTCTGCATACCCAAGGGAGTTTTTAAGGGTGTCTAAACCTTTAACCGTGTATGACAGGCTTCATGACACTGTAATAAGTGTTACAGTACACATTTAAAAGTGTCTGACACTCATCATACACTGCAAAAACACCCCACCCCGTTTTTAAATTTTCTCAGTGTATATCGACAGCAGTACAAGGGGTACACGATACTGATCCCTGGCTGGGGGGAGAACGCCGTAAGAGGGGGTATTCTACACTAATAAACGGGGTACATAATAAGGGTGTTCCTGGTATAAGAGTACACCGTTAGAAAGATTATACTTGCACAATGTGCAGGGTACACGATTCGGTTATCTGTCTGTGGGGGTACACCATCAAACGGGGTAAAACTTAACTGACACCAGTGCAGTCAGCCTAGCACACCGCAGTATTTGCAATAGCACAGTCAGACGCGGTACATTTGCACCGGTACACGCAGTAAGCGATCAGGGTACCTGGCGGAGATGACAACGCCGTCAGACGGAGAGTAGGGTAGACCGGGGCAAGTCGCCCCGCCGAGGTAAAACGCCTCACCGATGTTTCTCGGAACTGGCAAGGTTCTGGGGAAACATCCTCTCTTCTATAAAACGTGCACTATACGATCATTATATGAGCAGACTGGAAATAAATTGTGATGACTCTTTAGGGAGATATAGCCAAAAATGTGTTTTTGGAGTGATTTTTATGTTTTGTTGTCAGATTATGCATCATGGCGTTCTTTTATCGTCCACATCAGGTTAACGACTTTTATGCATTTTGAACAACTATTGTCTAACGCTTATAATGCCGGGTTGGTTCGTGTTAAATTATGTCTTCCTGGAGTGCAAGGCGTTGTTCTCTGACCGCACTACGTGATGGGGTAAAACGCCCCAGTAGGTCGCGGGGCAAAAAGCCCCATGGGGCGTTTTACCTCATGTGTTGTTCGGACTACCCACTTCCTAATATTCGGTAGCTGGCGAACGGTATGTTTCTATGCATTTACATGTACTTTTCTCAGCAACTGGATGACAAAGGATGTATTTTGTTAACATTTGCATTGCAATAATTTATTATTTTGCCTTATGAGGCAGGTGAAAAACCTGCTCATACAATAGTGTCGTAGCTGAACACCTGATAGGATGGAATGTGCTAACTTCAGTGCCATGCCTCCCAAGGTCTAACGGACCTTTCATATAAGATTTAGTCAACTAGCATGCTTAATCTTTAATCTAGAGTATGGGGCTTCTTGCCCCAGGCCGTGGGGCGTTTTGCCCTGGGGTTGGGGCAAAACGCCCTATTTGCAGTTGGTTCACAAACCACTTCCTAGCTGGGAGTCCGATCATAAGTGAATGAATTTGAGGGGTGGAATTTAAAGTAAAATGTCCAAAGAACGCATTGAGCACAAATTTGGCCTTCCAGGTCATGTGGGACAAAAGTTATGTAGCAAAATAAATTATCTGGGGCGTCTTGCCCCAGGCTACCCTACACCATCAGAGGGGCATATTTAAACCACTACAGGGGTAACTGGTGGAAAGAAGACATCTTTACACATGGCACACTTTACCAATTTACCGTCAGAAGGCGTATATTATGACCCCCGGGTCACACGATACGGTATCTGACGGATGGAAGTACACCGTTACACAGCGCATGCTTCACCAGGCCACTGTCAGAAGGAGTAAATTTACACCAGTGCAGGGAATACACGATACACGTAAGCGGAGAGGAGTACACCGTCAGACGGATAACTCTGCGCTGTCAGGGTCAGGTACACGAGGGAATATACAAACAAGGTCGACAACCGTCGATACCACTGCCAGCTGAGGCCGATACCAGATATACAATCAGAGGCCGCCACTCGGAGACCGCGGGTACAGACAAACCACCCGGCTGACCTCGAACGGAAAGAGGGCACGAGACTACTGACACTGCGTACTTACTGACGGCAAATACACTGAGAGTGTGACACTAACATTGGACGGGTAGTAGTAAATAAAACCGCAGTCCGACCGACCGCACAACAATGGCGGCCTCTGTGAACTACCAAGGACGGTAGGATAGGAGAAAAGTATATCATGAATGAAGGAAACATAGACCACCGATCATGCTTCAAGACTTCTATAATGCACCGCAGCATCTCGAGCCTTATTAATTGGGAATTCAGGCACACACCCAGGAGCATCTGCAGGTATTCCAAAAGCACCAGCGCTCAGAGTTTGGTTAGGAGCGAGGCAGAATGCACAAAGACCGCATCTATCCACTGCCTGCCTGGGTACTGGGTAGCCCTGTCCCCAGCACCCACGGGTTCGGCATCCCCACCACCCGGCCACAGAGAGTAGGGACTACGTCAGCACGCTGGGAGCCCATGGACCGTTGGCCGCTGAGCCGAGCCGGCAGCGACCTCTGACCCCCTCCCCCCCCGCCGGCGGGGGGGGGGGGGCAGGGGGCGCTCCTATCAACACGCGCCGTCACAGCGCCTGCCAAGGCCGCCGCGGGGGCTGACTGCAGGCCAATGACCCCCTCCGGCCGGCTGCAGGGTGCGCCGCGGATATCACCCGTAATGGCACGCACAGATACGGGGAGCGTGATTTCACAGAGGCGCCCTCGGATGAGCCAGAAGATTGTATCCAGGCGGAGGGTGATATAAAATACATCACATCAAAATTCGCATTCGCGTTATAACTACGGAAGCACAACATTGTGTATATTTGAAAATGCGTTACGGTGACCTTCCACGCTACGGTGACCGAATAATGATATACATCTATATTAAAGTCAGGGTTGCTCAATGCCGGAACAATGGCCCGCAGAATGTTCAGTAAATGTCTGGCATGGGGACAGCTGCTACTGCGGATCTCACAGTAAATGGCTGGTAGAAGCAGTAGCTGCCACTGCGTGTGTCTGGTAGAAGCAGTAGCTGCCACTGCGTATGTCTGGTAGAAGCAGTAGCTGCCACTGCGTATGTCTGGTAGAAGCAGTAGCTGCCACTGCGTATGTCTGGTAGAAGCAGTAGCTGCCACTGCATATGTCTGGTAGAAGCAGTAGCTACTAGCTGCCACTGCATATGTCTGGTAGAAGCAGTAGCTACTAGCTGCCACTGCGTATGTCTGGTAGAAGCAGTAGCTACTAGCTGCCACTGCGTATGTCTGGTAGAAGCAGTAGCTACTAGCTACCACTGCGTATGTCTGATAGAAGCAGTAGCCACCGCCGCGGATGCCGGCGCTCGCCGAAGCGCCTCGGCCAGCGGGTCAGCGGGCGACTCCAGTGGGGGAAACTGTGGTCAGCGGGCGACTCCAGTGGGGGAAACTGTGGTCAGCGGGCGACTAGGCCACGCAGACCGCAAAACTCCGCTGTGGCAGGCGCGGTACAAGTACAATGTCCGCTGTCCCAGGCGCAGTACAAGTACAATGTCCGCAGTCCAAGGCGCGGTATAAGTACGATGTGTGCAGTCCGCAGTTCCAGGCGCGGTACGAGTACGATGTGTTCTGAACATCAGCCTCCTTATCTCACAGGCCTGGGGAGTCAGTACTCAGTTACCATCTCTGTCCCCTATAGCGTTCACCCTTTTTCAGGGAATGTGGCTGGTTTAGCGAGGGAGCCAGCTATGACACAGCTGCCAGAGTGTTACCCGGGTGACCGAGGACACAGCCGGGGGGACCGATTCCGGCGACCTGCAGAGTGACACGGGGGCGATAACCTTCTATGTTTTATCCAGATTCATCCCGCTCGGTCATATCTTGTCCTCTCCGACTCATTGAGCGGACTCCAGTCCTTGACACAATTCTATCCACTTGACCCCCTCGTACAGGAGATTCTTCTCCGTTTGACGGCTCTCGACCGAGAGGGTACCTCAGTGACTTTTTGCTGGATTCCCAGCCATGTTGGTATAGCTGGCAATGAGCGGGCGGACCGTGCTGCGAACCATGCGGCGCGGCAGCCCTGCTCCCGCCGGTTCCCTCTACCGGCCAGGGACTTTTTCCCTACGGTGAGCTCATTCTTCCGCGGAAAGTGGCAGGAGGCTTGGAGCAAATGTCAGACAAACAAGCTGCTACGCATCAAACCGGGTTTGGCAACCTGGCTGTCTGCGTCACGCAAGTCGCGTCGAGAGGAGGTCATCCTCTGTCGGCTTCGCACAGGACACACTTTCGGTACCCATGGACACCTTATTGGCGTCGGCCCAAGACCTGTTTGTGCGAGATGTGGCGACAGACTTTCCGTCCGACACGTTTTTCTGGAGTGTCCAAGACTGGAAGCTGAGCGGCTGAAGTTTCTGGGCCTGCGCGGAGCCCAACTTTCTTTGAGAGCAGTCTTAGGTGACGAGTCCTCTTTGCTTGACTCTTCTCGCCTCTTTTCGTTTATTGCGGCCTCTGGCCTTCAGGTGATTTTTAACGCCCGACACTG